CTCCTCCTCCTCCTGCTGCTCCTGCTGTGCTGCCTCCGGCCGACCTGCTCCGCCGCTCCCCCGGGCGAGGCGTGTGGTGCTCACCCACGGCAGGAGAGAGTTCCCACGCCGGGAGGGATGCACAGTGCCCCTCATCCCAAATAGGACAGAGGGTGCCCCCGGGCAGCGTGCGTGTCCTTCCCAGGCTTTGGTCACTGTCTCTACATCCCCGCCAAGGCAAGATGCTTCTGGGCAGGGCACAGTGTCTCCCCACCCTGGGTCAGCGCGCATGGTCCCGGGGGGATGCATGGTCCCCGAAGGGGGTACGTGGTACCCCAGAGAGAGCACCCAGTGGCCCCAAGGCAGGGCACACTCTTCTCTCCGTGCCCAGGATGCATGCTGCCCCCCAGGCAGGTGCACAGTCACACTGAAATCCCCCAGAGCAGTGGAGAGAAGCTCAGGGAAATAGACTCTTTTCCAGCAGTCCACGGAGTCTGTGAGTGCTGGAGCCTGTCCTGTGGAGCCCCCATGGCCACAGGAACAATGTACCCATGTGTAGTTGCCAAGTGCTGCTTTCCCCAGCCATTGCTGCAGAGCTAAGGAGGGTTGGGGACTTTTTCGTTATGGGAAGTCAGTCACAGGCATGAGCAGAGCCTGCTCCTGGGCTTTCTCCAGGGGTACCTGAGCTGCAGCCAGGTGCCCAGCATCCATCATGTTCGGTTCCTTGGTATTTGCTTCCCAATGTGAGGACCTGTCCTGCAGCCCCACAGAGACTCATGGGGCCCATGGAGACCCTGGCACCTCCTGCCTCGGGGACTGTGCCCTAAGGGGGAGGTCAAAGCTCCAGCCCCTAGCTCTCCATCCTGGCTGGGGCACATGTCTTGATCCATCAAAAGAAGTTGGAGCTGCTGGCACTCAATCCTCCCTTAAGATGTACTGACAGCTCCCTGGCTGCACTTCACACCTGCCTCCAGGAATGCCAGCTCCCAGGCTGACCTCACCAGCTGGCATCAGCTCCAGGGCCAGGGGTCCTGGGGGTGACTCAGTCCCACTGCTATCTGCGCCCTGCAGATCCGTGTCCCCTTGCCAAGAGGCAGCGGAAGAGGCGATACTGTGGGTCCCCTGGGCGCACACAGCCTTGGGCTTGGCCGTGGGCCTCGCTGGTCCTGCCCCTTCCCAGTCCAAGGCCTGGATGTCAGCAATGCACAGGCCAGGACATGGGGCCCAGTGCAGGAGCAAGGGTTCCTGGCAGCAGTGGGGCAGGGACGAGCCAGCTGCAGGCAGAAGGGGGACAGGTTAGGGGGCAGCCACCCTGATCCCCCAGTCACCAGGCTAGGTGCCTCCTGCCGTGGCCCCACCCCGAGATGCAGTCACTTCCCAGCAGAGTCCAGTTCCCTCCCACCAGCTCAGGGAATCGCCAAATAAGAGCAAAGTCTTGGCTGGGGAAAGCAGCTGGGGCGGGAACACGGGTGAAGCTTTTGGGATCATGGCCTGGGAACGGCAGAGTTTCCCTAAGGCCCCTCTGGGGTGGCTGGGGACAGGCCAATGTTGGGGATGTGAGGCGGTGGAGAGGGCTGTTCTGCCCTAAACCTCTTGTCCCAGCTGCACCATTTCCAGCAGCCCTTGCCCATCCTGACCTGGGCACCATGGGCTGTCCCTCCTGGTGACAAGAGGTTCTAGGACCACAGTGGGCTCACAGAGCTGCTGGGAAGCTCTGTGGAGTTGCTGATCAAGAATCAGGCATTCCCTGCTCTGCACTGTCTGACATTTCTCCAAGTGCCTGGGGCAAAGTGTTTGCACTCTTTAGTGCAGTCCCTATGGCTTTCCAGCCCCACCATCCAGTGCCAGCAGCAGGGCAGGGCCACACTGAGGTGGGTGTTTATTCTTTTAAGGCAATGACATTTTTGCCAAGAGCAGAAGGCTGCCTGCATGGCTGGTGTGAGCCTGAGCCGAGTGAGGAATTGGGACACGCTGTGCTCACAGCACCCACTGTCCTGGCAGCCAGGGAGGACACGGGGGTTCCTGGGGTGAGTGTGCTCTGGGGGTCCACCCAGCGCTTCCTCTGCTGTGCTGCACCTCGCACCAGGGAGGAGGTGACACCAGCCCTGGCACTTAGAGCTGTCAGCACATTCTGGTCCCTGGTGAGGAGGGGACTCCCAGAGCCCCACACTTGGCGCAGCCTGTCCAGGCTCTGGCATGGACCTGGGAGGGCTGTCCTGGTGATGGAGCCCTAGCCCTGGTGCAGCCAGCCTCCAGCCTGACACAGCTCCTTCACCACAGCTCCTGCTCTGGCCCTTTCCTGTGGCTCCCATCCACTGTATCTTCTGATATGGGACTCTCCAAGCCCATGGATTTGCCGAATTGCTGTGGACCAAGCTCAGGGAAACACCCTCCCTGCCCAGGATGGCATCGCACAGCCCACTGCCAGCAGTAAACCGCTCCACACCCCACAGCTGACATCTGCCCAGTATCTTTGTCTGCCCCTTCCTCTGAGCCCTGCACTGCGAATGTCACGTCCACTCTCAGCCACACTGAGTTTGCCCTGTCCCATACCAGGCCAGAACCATGAGATCAGTGTGAGCCCCACTGCACACAGCGGCCACCTTGCCCAGCTTGACATGCCTGCCCCATGCTAGATTGAACGTGCCCTTCCAGAGGATTCTCAATGTTTTAAAGGAGTGTCATCTGTAAGATCAGCAAAGAGGTCTGAGGAGACCCCTGGCTGCTGCCCAGGGGCTCTGGGCTGCCACAGGACTGGTGTTGCCGTTGCTTGTCCTTGTCCGCTCACCCCTGTCCTTGGCGGCGGCCTCAGAGATTTGACGCATCTCCCCCATTTAGCTCCATAAACCAGCTGGGATTGAATTTTTTGTTCTCAATCCTGAAAAGCCTGGCCATGCCCTGCTGGCTGTGCTCCAGACGGCTCTCCTTTAGCTTCTCCTCCAATTTCCAGGGTTGGTTTTCATCAAAGAGGGACTGGCTATCAAAAGGAGTATTTATTTATAGGGTGTCAAATACCCTGTGTGGCACCACAGGTCGTTATACCCCATTCCCAAGCGGCCCCGTGGCCGCACACAGCTGTTCCACCCTTCATCCTGGCCAGGCACAAGCCAATTTCAACACCTTCCTAACATCTCCCCAGAGGGATCTATTTCCCAGGAGAAACATCAGTCATGGCACTAAATAAAACTCTTCCTGGCCTTGTCCTTCTCAGGGTACGAAGTAGAACACTGGACCCCAAATCCACCCAAATCCCCTTCCATACACCCCAAACATTCTTCTTTGCAGGCAGCACTCAGCAGTTAATCACAGCAAGAGATTTTTCTGTTTCTCTGATCTGCCACAGTTTAGCAAGCACCACAGTTTTTCCTACGAGCATTGAGGACGTGTGTGCCGGGGGACTTGTGACACAGCTTGGGACACTCGTCCCCGTTAGCTTTGGGGAGCCAGGCTGTAGGCTACCCCACAAAGCTCAAGACAGGACCAGCAACCAGCACTGCTCACCACAGCTGGCCTGCCCCCCCAGCCCGCACAGGACCCATCAGCCCGGTTCAGTGTCAACATCGAAGGAATGGGATCCTGACAGTCTTCCCCTCGGACGCTTTCCATATAAGGGCCCCCTCTTCCTTTAACCCCCCCGAGGTCCAGAGCCTGTGTAGGGGAGGAGCTGGTGGCGTGCCTACTTACATCTGTAGCTTTCTTCTCGGCCTGCTCCAGCTTCTCCTGGGCCTCCTTGACAGACTCGGAGTACTTCTCCACCTCATCCTCAGTGCCCTTCAGCTTCTTCTGCAGGCCCTGCTGTTCTTCCTCCAGCTGGGGAAAGGACAAAGGGTGGGGTTCAGGGGGGCTAGCAGTGTCTGCAAGGCTGGAAGGGGATCTGTCCTCCCATTCTCCTCCTGGGGACACCCAGCCTGTGTGGGGCACAGCAGGAAAACATGGACATGTCCTCTGACAGCTTTGGGTCTACAGGTCCTTGGGGAGCTCTTGGTGCACAGCAGCCTCCTGGACCCCCCTCATCCCTGAGCCTGGTGGAGGTAAGGGGGTGGCGGTCTCCTTCCCTGTATGAGAGCTGGAGAGCTCCTGTCTTGGGGATACAGCTCTGGGGGACACCAATCTGTGTTCCCATGTCTGTGGCTGCAGTGGGAGTATGCAGTCCCCAGGGCTCTCCCTGGCACAGGGATAGGGAGGTGGAACTGGGGTGTCCCACTGAGATAATACATTTTTGGGGGGACCAGCGTAAGGGGTCAAAGGAAAGAAACTGAAGTGTTGGTTCCTGGGGAACATGGGGTTCCTGGATCCACATGGGGTGATGTCCTTGGGGACATGGTCGCAGAGAGGGAAGGTCTTAAGGGATGTCAATCCCTAGAGCTGGCATCCACAAGCAGGACACCCAGTGGGGCAAGGTCCTTGGGCCAGGACATGCTTAGGACAGGGGATTCCAGGCTGGGGAACCAGTGTGGGGAGCTCAGTATGGGGAGTGTGTGATCCTAGAGAGTGAGTGCAGTGTCCCCAGGCTGGACAATCTGTGGGATGGCATCCCCAGGGCTGGGCACCCAGCGGGATGGCGTTTCCAGGACTGGACACCCCTAGGGTGGAGGGTCCCCAGGCTGGACTCCCAGAAGAACAGGGTCCTGGACACCCCTCGAGTGGAGGGTACCCAGGTAATGCCGGGGAAACCCGTGGGAGACTCACCTGCTTGCAGCGATCCTCCGCCTGCTTCTTATCAGCCTCCGCTTGCTCGGCGCGGTCGATGGCATTCTCCTTGTCCAATTTCAGCATCTGCATCTTCTTCTTGATGGCCTCCATGGTGGCGGGGTGTCGGCGACGAGACGCGGGGCGGCAGAGGGACGCGGAGCACCGGGAGCGGCGGGAGCACCGGGAGCGGAGGGAGCACCGGCACTGCGCTCCCCGCCCCGCCGAGCTGCCTAAAAGCTGGGGAGGGGCCGTGCCGGGCGGGGGCTGCCCGGGTACCTCCCCCGCCGCCCGCCAGCACCTTTTAGGGACAGGCTCGCCACCGGCCCTCGCACCGAGCGGGACGGGGGGGCGGCCCCCGGACGGGCATCGCCGCAGCCCTGGCGCCCGGCACCCACCGGGGAACAGGGCGAGGGACACCCCGGGTCACGGCGCTGGGGACAGTCCGGTGGTACTGGGCAAGAGGCGCCCCGGAATAGTGGGATAGTGTGCTGTGGGCAGCCTGGTGGCACAGGGTGATGGACACCCCGCGGCAGCGCTGTGGGGGTACCCCGTGGCACTGGATGAGGGACACTCCGTGGCACTGTGCTGGGGTACCCCAGTGGCACCGGGCAGGGGACATCCTGGGGCACTGAGTACGGGCACCCCGGTGGCACTGGCCCCAGTTAGAGCTGTCCTGATGCTAGTGCCCTAGGTACGCCACATGCCCTGTCACAGCACCCTGGGGCCTGAGGGACCCTGCTTGCTGGCACTGGCTTGGGGACACCTCAAGGGCTGGCATGGCACTTGGGAACACCAGTGGGCTGGCACTGAATTGTAGGGGTCACACTCAGGCTGTGATTGCACTGAGGGACACGTTTGGCTGGCACTGCTCACATGGGGAAAATCCCCCAGGAGAGAAGTGAGCAGAGCCCCTGACTTTCCCATCCAGCTTCTGGTGGGGCAGGAGGGCCAGGGCTCTGTGTAGATTTCTTGGCACCCACCGTCCTTCTGTCTTGCACCTTGGTGCCATTGTCCCTGGCACCCACAAGGACACCTGGCGCATGCACAGCCCCTAGAATGGCATTTTAGAGTGACACAGGGCATACAGGCAGCTCACTGCCCCTCTTCCTCTTTCTGCTCTAAATAAACTGTATTCCACAGGCAAAAAAATGCAAACCCTTCAAATCCCAGCTCCTCCAAAAATAACCTGTACTTTAATAACGATCGTAAATGCTTCTGGCACATTCCCAGCTGCAGGGTGGGCTGTGGGCCGGGGGGGCTGGAAGGAGCTGGTGGAGGGGCCATGGGAGCCGTGTGGCACGTGTGGAAGGCTGGGATGGGATGGGGACAGGAGGGGTGCACAGGCTCCCCCCAGCCCATTGCCCCTGGGCTGCAGCCAACCCTTGCTTGACGCAACTTCTGGGTACCAGTGCTCCAAGAAGAGAGGAACAAAAAGTTTTTGACAGCTGGAGAAAGTGCCTTTTAGGAGCCCTCAGGCCCGGATGGTGGAGGGCATAGGAGGGGTGGGAGCAGTCAAGGACCAGCAGGCTGCTGGCTCCTTGGGGAAGGCAGAAGAGCTGCTGCTGGACTCCGGAGAGAAGCTATTAGTACTGATAAATTAGGCACATATTTGGACAAGGAAGTCTGTAAATAACTGCCAGTGTGTGGCTTCTGAAGGGAGGGGGAAGATTCATGTCCCATCATTCCTGGGAGAGATTAATTGTTTTTCTGCTAGATGTTTCAGCCTGGAGCAACTTCATGGCCTTGAGCAACTTCACATGCTCAGTGCATGGGGCAAATATAATGATAGCCATGGTGCAAGCAGCAAGGAAATTGCCCTGGAGCCAGGCCAGACCTCAGATGTGCCCCCAAAGGATGCTATTCTCTCTCTCTGCTCTCTTTGTTCCAGACACCATAGCCATGACTGATGGACACTGCTGGAATCATCCGGGAGCCAAGGTCCATGACTCTGCCCTTAAGCCTGACTTCTGAGGTAACCTGTGAGAGAAGGGAGTGCAGAGAGACATGGGTGCACATTCCTCCCTTTGCTGCCCCATGCCCCGCCTTGTCCTGGACTAAGGTCTCCAAGGATGGCAATCCCCTCCATATTTCACACTAGGGTCCAACCTTACTCCCAAGGAAAAGCTTGATGACTAATGGGACCTTTCCAGGTGCAATCCCCCATTGCCCTATCCCTGGACTCCCCAAGAAGCTGGGACGTGGTTTGCCCAAACCTCCAACTTAGCTGAATTTGGATCCCTGTGGTGGCTTGGTACCTTATGACTGGGTCATCCCAGCTCCAAACTTCTGTATGTGCTTTCCTGAACCTGCCTGCCAAAATAACCTCTTGGTCTGTGTGAGACTGAGGGGCAGTGGTTAATCACACCCCCGTGTCCCTCCCCTGGTATTTATGCCCCTGCCTCTTGCTTGTACCCAAGCTGGAGGACACAGAGTGGATGTGCTCACAGCCCTGTGCAGGGGGTGCTGGAGCTCCCTTGTCCCCAGCATGCCAGGATGAGGCCAGAGCTGCTGCCATGCTGTGCCCGCTCACTGTCCTTGCTGGACACTGCGAAGGGCCCCATGTCCAAGCCGGTACCTGGGTGAGAGCCTGGGTCAGGGCAGCGCAGATTGTCAGGGGACAGCTGGGAGGACTGGGATGCCTGTGAGAGCCACAAATCCCCCCTGGAGCCTGGCCAGGGGTAAGTGTCTTAGGAGAAACAGCCCCTCCACACCCCCAGGGACGTGACCACAGGGGGACAGGGGTTGCTGTTGGGGATAGTGCAGGATGCTGCCCTTGCCACTGATGTTTGTAGCTCACAGTACCAGAACAGCCCCACAGGCAAAGGACACGTGCCAACCTGCCCGTGCCCCCGTTGCACCCCGCAACGTCCCTGGTGCACCCCACATCACCTCTGCCCGCCCTGCCACTGCTTAGGCCCCCCAAATCCCTGCTGAGTGACAGGGTGGGAACAGGTGGGGACATGCCGGGGCAGCTGCTGCCCGCACAGGTTGGCTCTGGGGGGCTATTTTGGGGCGTGAGATCAACGCTGGCAGCCGGGAAGGCTCCGGCCACATTCCCAGACCCACACCACAACAGACTGCTGCTTCCCCACTGATGGCCCACCAGTGACTATGGGGTGAGAGTCACCCCACCTGCACTCCTACTGCACCCTACCCAGGAGTATATATGGCTGGTAGCAGGAATGGGGCCAGGAGCTGAGCTCCAGACAAAAAAACCCACCCTGCCTTCCCTGAAGCCCAAATCCCCAAGAAACAAAATCCCCAAGATCCCCTCTTGCAGTGGTGGCCCCCCGGCAGCACCTGCGAGGCCAGCACATGGCTGGCAGCGGGGGTCCGGCCTGCCGGGTGCCTGGGGCTGGACGTGCCTCAAATATTTTCCATGCTGTATAAGCACCCGTGGTACACTCCCCCCCTCCCTTTGCTGGGAGGGAAGGCGCCCAGGCCCCCCTGCCCTCCCCTTCTCCTGGAGAGGCCCATTGATACCCAGTTGGCAAGAAAGCAGGAAAACCAGATTTTATTGATGAATGCGTCTTTCTGAGGAGACACTGGCATCCCCCACCCCACCCCGGGGTGGGAGGGAGCTGGTTTCCTTCAATCTTTAATATGGGATGCTTAAAAGTATCAAAATGGTGAGAGAAGCCTCAGCAAGTGCAAAGGGGAAGGGACAGGGGTCCCGGAGCCAAGGAGGGGTGGGATGCTGGGCTACGGGACCCCGGCAAGAGCTGGGTGTTAGTGTGCAGGGCATGAGCAGGCAGGGAAATAAATGAACTTTGGAAGCTGCAGGCTCAATACTAGAGAAATGGAAAAGTTACAAAAATACTGCAAATCTTGGAAAACAATGCAGGCACTTGGGAAGAAGGAGGAAGGCAGAGCTGGCTGGGGCCGCAGTCGGGGGGAAGCCCTGCAGGAAGGCAAAAAACAGCTCTGGGAGGGAAATCATCACATCATCCCCCATCCTGAGTGGAGGCACTGTGGCTTACTGCCCTGCTGCCCCAGAGGGGCCTGGGCTGAAAAAAATACTCATGGGGTGGATGCAGGGTCTTCCAGGGTACCTGCAGAGGAAGATTCAGCCAGCAATAAGGCATTGGAGGTGAAAGGCAGCTCCACGCGAGAGCTCAGCGAGGGGTGGCTGCTCCCTGCATGCTATGGCAAAGGAGAGGGGAAGCCACCCGCCTGTCCCCATCCCGCGTGGAGGAGAGAAAAAAAGGGGCACGAGAGGGAAGGAAGAAGGCACAAGTAAATATCCCCTTGCAGTGGAGAGCTCTGTGGGCCCGCACCCCGGGGCTGGCGGGTGAGCCCTGAGCCAGTGCAGCCCCGGCTCCCACCCCAACCGAGTCCCTCCGAGCGCTCTGATTGTGCCTTGGGTGTGCATGGGAAGGTGGCTGGGCAGCGAAGCGGAGTTGCTGGTGCGGCACCGGCTTGGAGGGGCAGCTGAGTTAGTCCCTTTGCTCTGGGTGCGGGCAGAGCTCTGGTCTAGCCCAGACAGCCCTTCGCTTGTGGCGGGTCGTCTTAAATAGGAGCAGGCAGGTGGGCAGGCGGCAGTCTGTGCGGTGAGCGGAGGGCGTGCGGCTCAGTTCTGCTCTTCGTCCCGCAGCTCCGAGGGCAGGAACTTGTACTGCTGCTGCCGGATCATTGCCAGCTTCTTCCGCGCCTCCTCCAGCTCCCGCTCCTTGCGCAGCATCTCCTCCTGGGCAGCGATAATCTGCCAGGAGAGAGCCCCAAGGTCACAAGTGCCTCCCACGGGGACGGCCACAGCCTCTGCCACAGCAGTGCCAACGCCAGAGCTGCGTTCTCTGGCTGCTGCTGCCCTCCCTCACAGCCACTGCCTCACCGGGCATGAGGACTGTTTGTCCTTGGGGTGGGTACTCTGGACATAAAGCATGGTACTCTGGACATAAAGCAGAACAGCACAGCTTCTGAGCTCTGCCCTATGTACTGTGTAAAGGGTCTCAGCTGCAGGGAGCCAGCACTGGGACTGTGACAGCCCACACTAGGTAGATGTCACCCTATCCCACTGCTTTGCTTTTTCCTTGTGTCACAAAGGATACTGTGGGTTCTGCACCAAGGAGAAGCCAGGGCTTTACACTCATGGGAGCATGCACCATCACCCACTGCTACTTGTGGCGGGATAAGGTGAGGCCTCATTGTTTAACTGGTGCTCAGTGGTGTGGCAGCAGCTCTCTGGCCACAGAACAAAACACAACTTTCCCAGGCATT